TTTTCATCTCTCTGCCCCAATTACTACATAGCAACTGCATCCAAGGCCCCTTCTAGAACTAGCACAGAGTAACACCGTGATGATCTCCACAGCCTCCAAGCTCAAGCCAAGCAAAAATGTGTAGAAACCACAATAATCTACACAAAGGCCCGTGGCAGAGATTCCAGACATCAGACTACAAGAGCAGTGAGCAGGAATGACTCCATGCCACCACAGGACCACTTCAAGAATATTCTGGTCATCATATAATAAACTCATTGTAAACTTACATTTCTTCCCTTATTAAATTCTGTGTACCATGGATGAGGTACTATGAAAGAGTACCTTTCCCCTAGGGGAACTTGCTCCTTTATGTAAATTGCTATAAATCAAGCCACATTCCCAGAGCTAAGTCTTAAAGGAAATTAGTCTTAAAAGAAAACTTTAAATTAACGTCTGCCTTCCTTTTCACCAAATAACAGCATTGCTTACCTTCATATCATATACCTCCTTTCTTTTATATGAAACAAGGAATCTAATTCTCAAAACTTTTTTTTAAAGGAAATAAAGGACATTTGGTGAACAAAGTACATTTTGGAAAATACACAGCAGAAACACAACAGCTGAAGCTGGCAGAGAAAACAGAGCCAGTAGAGGCTGGCATTGTGGCATAGCATGCAAAGCTGCTGCCTGCGATGCTGGCTCAAGTTCTGGCTGTCCCAATTCCAATCCAGTTCCCTATGGCCTTGGAAAAGCCATAAAAGATGGCCCAAACACCTGGGTCCCTGGCACCCACAAGGGAGACACAGAAGAAGCTCCTGGCTCCCGGTTTCGGCCTGGCCCAGCCCCAACTGTTGGAAGCACCTGGGGAATGAACCAACAGATGGAAGACAGATCCCGCTTTCTTTCTCTCTCTTTCAAGTAAATGAATAAATCTTCAGCAACAACAATAACAAAAACCCCACACTGGGTAATAGGTATACACAGACACATCATTACGCCTTGGTAAAACCATTCGGTCCTTCATCTCTAAATATACTTTCATTTTTACAGATATGTGTAAAAAGCATTTTCAGCTATGTGGGGTAAGTTTGAGTGAACTAGTTCTCACAACAGGCAAGAGTCTTTTCTACATTTGTGAAGGCTAAACTTCATTGAGAGTCTGGAAACTTCTGAGGAACAGGCACTCGGCCTGGCAGTTCAGACACCATGGAAGACGCTGAATCAAGGGATGCAACGCTCTGGCTCCATATCCAGCTTCCTGCTAACGTGCGCCCGGGGAAACAGGTATGGCAGCACAGAGCCGGTCCCTGCCAGCCACGGGAGAAGCCTGAACTGAGACCTTGGCTACCTTCGGCCTGGCCCAGCCTGCACAGCTGCAAAAACTCAAAAAGTGAACTGGCAGATGGGAGGTCTCTTTGCTTCTCTCCTTCAAATAGTAATACAAATACAAATAATACACAACTAGGAGAGAGCATTGTGGTCCAGAGGGCTAAGCTGTATCCCATACGAGACTGGGATGGGGTTTCTACCTCCTGACTTCCTGGCCTAGGAAGGCTCCTGCAGCCATCTGAGGAGTGAACCAGCAGATGAAACACCTCTGTCTCTGTCTGCCTGCCTGCCTGCCTGTCTGTCTGTGTGTGTGTGTGTCTCTCTCTCTCTCTCTATATATATATATATATATATGTAATTCTGACTTCAAGCAAAAATAAACTTTAAAAAATAATTTTTGTTTAAAACAAGTCAGTTAAGACATTCTACAACAAGGGTAACAACTTGCTAAGGAACAGTGAGATAAAAATAGATCTTTGAAATTAATGCAGCAAAACAGAAACAGCCTCCTGACTAATTTGCCTAACTCAGTGCTGTGGTTTCAGAGTGGCCCCCAAGAGTTCCCAGGCCAGAAGCTTGGTGCCTGGTGTGCTGATATTGGAAGGGGGGCCAATAAGAAACCCTTAGGTCACTGGGGGAGGTCCCAGCTGCAGCAAGGGTTGCTGTGAGTCTCATAGGACCTTGGTTAGTTCCAGAGTAAGCAAGGTGTTTAAAAAGAAAAGAAAGGGGCAACGCAGCTGTGAGGGCCTCTTGCTTCCTCTCCACCAAAGTGACAGATTCTAGAAGCACTCCCGCCACCAGCCCTTCACCAAGGCTGCACAAGTGGGGCCACCTGAACTTGGACTGGAACTACCAGGCCTCAGGCATTCTATTTAAGCAACAGAAATTACAAACACTGGCCCCCAAAGGCAACCTTGGAAAGGTTGTTGACAACATACTCCCGTTTTCCTCTCATTTCAAGGTCTGCACATTTTTATCACGAGGACTGCATCTTGCACCTGTCCCTAGCATAACCCAACCTGCCTCCCCCAGGATGGAATCCTTGAGCCCACCCTCTTCTGCAACATTCCCTCCCTCGTTGATTTCATCTGTTTCATGGCTTTAAATCTGCATCTACAGTCTCAACTCCTGCCCTGAGTGATGTCTTGGCTACCTGACACTTGCATTTTGAAGTCTAACAGGCGTTTCAAATTTAACATGACCAAAACCAAACTCATCTCCTGCCTGCTTCTCCATCAGGATTCCTGTTTCAGTAAACAGAGAAACCTAACAATTAACTGCTTAGGTCCAAAATCCTGCAGTCACCTTTGGTTATGCTGTTTGAATACTGGCCACCATGTTAACAGAACCGATACATACTCCTCCAGTCCATCAGCAAGTTTTATTGGAGCTACCTGCAATCCTGAGACAGGCTCTGACTGCCCCCTGCCAGGTCCCTGAGCCTCCAACTGAAACAAGTGAAATCTTTTAAGTGGTCTGCTGGAGCCTTGCCTCTGATGCAGGCTGAGCAGGAGGCACATCCAATCTTGTCATTATTCTGCCCAAAATCATCCAGTGGCTTCCCATCTCAGAGTAAAAGCCTGGTCTGCCCGTCTACACTTTATCTACAATCTGACCTACTGCTGTAGCCACATCAGTCTCCTCGCTGCTGCCTGCACAAACCAAATGCTGTCCCAACTCAGGGTCTCCTCACTTCCAGGTTCCGCTGCCTGCAATGCTGTGCCCTCAGGGTGAGCCACAGCTGACGCCCCCCCCCACCTGCCTCCTCTACTTTCCTCCCTAACCATGCTATTCAAAACCACAATCCTGCATCCCACCACTGCCGCTGGCATGCCCTGGCCTCATTCCCCCTCCCAGCAGTGGTTCACATCTGGCAAAGAAGTATTTTTCCATTATTTACTCACACTGAAATGTCAGCTCCATGATGCTCTGTTCAAGGTTGCCCCCAGCGTCCAGGACACACAGAGACTTTCAAAACTGACCAGTGAATGAATGATACCGACAACTTACAAGCACAATGCATTATTGCTGGAAAACAGCAAATGTGACAAGGATTGCCCGCTCACACTCTGGCACAGTGTTGCAATAAAGAGAAGCCACATTTGTTTCTCCAAGTTCATGGAGATCTAATTTCCTACGGATCTGTTCTGTTAGAGCAATCTGCATTGTGCATAAAGAGTGCCAGGCGACGATTTTATACAAGTGTTGCTTCAGCTGCTGTAGGCAAAAACCAGGAGGACTACAGCATGCTCCCTACACCACAACGACCCCAGCGCCACAGCCCACCAGGCTGTTTAGGGAAGAAGGGACTCCTAGGAAGGAAAAATCATCACCAACACAGAGCTCCACAGAGCCCTCTGCACAGCTTTTCCCAACTTCATCTCCTTAAAAAAAAGAAAAGCCTTAACATGTACATGAGATCTTGAGTGAAGAAATAGCATGATTATGTAACTACACATACGGGAAAACCCTGGTACCCCATGACCCCTCATTTCCAAAACAAAACAAAAGAAGACCCAACAACTAAAATGCAATTTCCAGATTCTGCTGAATATGTTTTGCTGCGAAGATAACTTAATAAAGACATTCATTTGGCTAACCCGTGGACTGGGCGGTATTGTATTTTAAGACTGAGCCACTTTGTTTACTATTTTTTTTTTAATTTAATACATTTCCTCCCAGTCGCCGGTGCAAGCAGCAGGGAATGCTATGTCCATAGGAAGCGGTTATGAAAGGCAATGACCTAAGTGTTCCACACTGACACAGATAAAGTTCAGGCACTAGATGTCACTTGTCTTAACCCATTTAACCCTCTCCAAAAGACAACACCAGCCTCAAAGCCCACTGAGGCAAGCAGAGAGAAACAGGCATGGGAAATCCAAGGAGCCTCCTCTCCCCGCCTTCCCCCACCCCCAGCATCCTTCCAGGGCCCCAGACCCAGCCCCCCACCACGCCACTAAGTGCAATAAGAGGGACCCAGACCCCTCCAGGGGAAAAAAAAAAAAAAATCCGGCGCACTAAAGGCTCCTGCCCGCTCGAACTCGCGGACACTGGGCTGCCGCGCCAACAAAGCGACGTGCCGGGTCCCCAGCGTCCAAAGGTCCCCGCCCGCGGCCGTGACACGGCCAAATGGCCGGGACTCCAAAAGGTGGACTGACTGATGACCCTCGTCGCGGAACCCGGGGCCGGTCCAGGATGAAGTCCGGGCCGCCTCCCGCCCCGCACGGCCGCGCCCGCTCGCATCCCGCGGGCGGCCGGCCGAGCGCCTTCCGACGCCCCCTCCTAGACCCACAAGGCCGGGGCCCAAACTTGGCCGCCGGGCGGTAGCAGCAGGTCGGGGTCCAGGGCGCCGTGGCCGGGCCGACGAGGGCTAACGGGGGGTGGGCTGGGCGTTCCGCAGCCGAACCCGGCGGCGCGGGCCGTGCCTGCCCTCGGGCCGCCCGCTCCAGCCCCCCGCGCCCGTTATGAATAACCCCGCGCCCCGGAGGCGCAGCGGCGGCGGCGGCGGGCTCAGCAGCGCACCCTGCACGCGGAATACATAACAATGTCATTAAGTGGCCGCCCGGGCGAGCGCCCGTCCGGCCGCCGGGAGCTGACTTTGTCTGCAGCCCGCACCCCGCCTCCCGCGCGCGCCTGCCTGAGGCGAGGGGGGGGGACGCCCCGCGCCGCCGCACACAACCCGGCCTTACCCGCCAGCTCGTCGGGTTCCAACCCGCTGTCCGCGTCGATCCCACACAGCACGAAGTAGTGCGCGAAGCGGCAGGCGGCCGGGGAGGAACCCGAACCCGAGCCCGGGCCGGGCGCCGCGCCGCCGCCGCTGCTGCTGTTGCTGCCGCCGCCGCTCATCCCGGCCGCGCCGCTCTCCTCCCTGCCAGGGAAGGCTCGCTGAGGAGGCGGGGGGCCCCGCCGCGCCGGCTGCGGTGTCCGCGCCCACCCTCACGGCCACGCCGACGCGCCCATGGCCGCGCGGCCGCCGCCGCCGCTCGCCTCAGCGCGGCCCCCTCGCTCGGCGCCGGGGAGCGGCCGCGGCACCGCGCGCTCTCGTCGGGCTCCCCCCCCCCCCAACCCCGGCGCGGAGAGGGGGAAGGGCGCTCCTCCGGGAGGCTCGGCCGAGCGAGGCCCGCGTCGCCGCCGCCAACGCCGCAGTTGCGCTTCCCCCTCGCGAGCCGGGAGCCGCGGCGTCTGGCGCCCCGGGGTCAGCTGAGCGGCGCTCGGGCTGTGGGAGCGCGGGGCCGGCGCGCGGGGAGCCAGAGGGGAGGCGGAGGACGGCGGCGCGCGCGCCCGGCGGCGGTGGGGGGAAGGGCGGCGCGCGTGCCCGGGCCGGGAGCGCGCTCGTCCCGCGGGCTCGGGGGAGCGCCCGGCAGGCAGGCGGGCGGGCAGGCGGGAGCGGGTGCTGTCCTCTAGAAAGAGGATTTTCACCCTGGGTAAAATCACGATAATAAACGCTGCGTAGATAAGGGTGAGCGAGGCCATTTCCCACACCGTGTGAACCGTCCTGTGTTCGACCCGTGTCATTTAAGAAATCCGAGTGCTCGGGTTAGGTCATCCCTCGTCCTTGCTCCCTCGTGAATCAGTGTGTCCACTCGACGGACGGCGGAGAGCAGCACGGAACAGCTGTGCGCCCCAGCCCCTCACCCGCTGTGACTCCCTGAGCCTCTCCGGGCGGCGGGGAACCCACATCGCGCCCAACTCGGCTGCTCCCTCGGGCCGCCTTGGCTTCTGCCTCTGGAGCTCGCCAACCGCCGCCAGCCCCTTCCCCGTGCGCGCGGCCTGTGCTTGCTCTGGGACCCCGGGGAGGCACAAGGCGCTCCCTGGAGTGGCCCCAAAGAATCCCGCTTGTTTGAGGCTGATCCTGGAACACAGGTCTGCAGGGCGAGCATCACTTCAGGAACTTGCAGCCCACCTCTCCGCACCGAGGGGCCTTGCTTGGGAGCGACTGATTCAGCCGCCCCTGGGTTCGGTTCCCGGCTCCTCCGCTTTCCAACAGCGCTCCTGCGGCTCCGCGGGCCCCAGAAGATGGCGCGATCTGGTGCTCTGCCTCTCACGTAAGAGAATCTTAAAACAGGGTGCTGTGCCAGGACCTGGCTAATTGACCTTTAGCCCTGATTGCACCCTGCATTTTCCTTAAAAACACTTGGCATGACTTTTCTGCCATTGCTTCTTAGCTGGGTTGTCACATCCCAGCGTGTGACAGTTACACTTTGGGGACTTTAAAAAGTTCGTGAAGATGGCATGGTGAAGCGGGGTAAGCCCCGTTTGGGATGTCCATACCAGAGTGTGCCTTTCAGTGCAGCTCTGCCCCTTTCCAACTCCTTAATGTCCAGAGAGGCAGGCGGTGGCCCAAGTGCTGGGATCCCTGCCACCCACATGCAAGAGCCACCGGGGAGTTGCTGGCTGCCACCTCATGCTGGCCATTCGTTCCTGACTGTTCCGGGGGTTTGACACATGCCAGATAGAAGTTCTCTCTCTGTCACGCTCGAATAAATAAATATACCAACGTGGACACTTGCAAATATATATGTATGTACATTTGCATGTAAAAGTTTATTTTTGCTGCAAAAAAAAAATGTCGAAGTGCATGAATGATTTTATTTTCATAACACAGTGCCCATGAACTTTTGAAGACTTCATATTCCCAGCACCTAGCAGAACTGGTCCTTTTTATATTTGAGAGAATAAAAGAAGGGTAGTTGTCCAGGTCACAGCAGGTTGTTGGTGTTACTAGAAAGATAAACTTTGGTCATCTCTGACGTATTTATGATCACATGTTGATTTGCCGTTAGACAGCTGTTTTCTTCTCACATGGAGATAGTACTGCGATGGGCAAATGAGGGGCAGAGAGGCTGATACAGGATTACGTATGCCTCCTAACCATCCATGGTGATGGCTGCTTGCAGTATGTTACCTTCTAACATTGCAGGACAATGGCTCGGTGGGCTAACCCTCCCCCTTACAAGCACTGACATGCCATATGGGTACCGGTCTGTGTTCCAGCTGCTCCACTTCCCATCTAGCTCCCTTCTTGTCGCCTGGATGATCCAAAGCCTTGGGACCCTGCACTGGCATGGGAGACCTGGAGGAGATTCCTGATTCCTAGCTCACTTCTGGCTGCTGCAGCTACTTGGGGAGTGAACCAGCAGGGGAAGGATCCCAAACACAGATGCAATGACCAGGGCATAAATTGTGTAATTCTGAACAGCACCAGAACCTGGGAATCCTTGAATGATGGTGAGTGGAATCAGACTCACTTCCTTATACTTCCTTCTTCTTAATACGTAAAGGATGGACTTAATTTGTTTCTAAATAAAAATGTTATACGTTTTTATCTAAGTTTTTAAAGGGGGAGGACTTTTAAAACATTTAATTTATATATTTATCTGAAAGAAAGACACACAGAGAGAGCAAGCTTCTACCCTCTGGTTCACTCTTCAAGAGGCAGGGATGGGTCAGCTGAAGCCAGGAGCCCCATCTGGGTCACTCACATCACTGAGTTATCATTTGCTGCATCCAAGGTACGTTGGCAGGAAGCTGGATCAGAAGCCAGGAGCAGCTGGGACTGCAGCCAGCCCCCAGGTGTGAGATGTGGCTACACCAAGTGGTAGTACAGCCCATTGCACCACACACCCTCCTGACTCACCTTAAAGCGCTTGCAGTTCCAGTATGTAAGATGATGAAACTTCTTTAGTGGAGGTGATTAATCTTTCTCCAACATGATGCTCATGACTTCTTTTCCAAGACCCTCTTTGAAATTTGATGATTATTTTTTTTCTCTTTATGGCACAAAATATTTCATTATACAGAAAGAATAGAATAATGAACTAAAGCATCCCCATATACCTTTATCATTGAACCTCGCTATTAACATCTTGCTATGGATGTTCATCTGCTTGGCTTTTTCTGCTAACATCCCTGAGGCCTAACATTTCATGACATTTGTCCACATGTTTGCCTTCATCTCTGCTTTATCATACGTTTCGTATGAACATTTCTCCATCCTCTCAGTGAACTCTGCAGACTGTTCTTCCCCCATCCTGACGGAATGTCCAACAGGAGCTCTCTGTCACCCTCAAACGCTGTGCCCTATCCCTGTTTCCTCCCTCTGCTCCCTCCAGGCCCTCCTTTCTCCCCGCCCCACCAGTCTCCACTCTCAGGAGCTGCAGGCTGTGATATAACTTCACACATACCTCCCCCTCACCCAGCGCAGTCGATTGTTCTAGAATAGACTTCTGGCCCAAACTGGGCTAATAAGCCACTTCCCGGTGGCTTTTGGGTCTAAGGCCAAAAGAGAGAGGCTGCAATCTCTTTCTCTCTCTCTCTGTTTCACATAAGAAATACATACATGTTTAAAAGAAGACATTACTATTCTGTGCATGTGTTTAAGGTCTCAATGTAAAAGCACAAACCTTTACAAAGGAGCCGTCCTGGGTGGCATTGCAGCACAATGAGCTAAGCCACTGCTCGGGGCACCTGCCATTTGAGTCCGGGCTACTTTACTTCCGATTCAGCCTCCTGATGGGATGCCAGGGAGGAGGGAGATGATAGGCCAAGTACGTGGGTTCCTGCCACCTGTGTGGAAGACCCAGAAGGAATTGCTGACTTCTGTCTTCAGCCTGGCTACTCCTGGCTATTTTGAACATTTGGGCTGGAGTAAACCCATGAATGGAAGATCTCTTTCTCTGTCACTCTGCCTTTCAAATAAATAAATCTTTAAAACAAACAAAAGAATACAATTGTATCTTATCAGTATACTTACTGAGATTATATGGAAACTACATTGAAATAAACATGTTTCTTCTTTTGTTGGTATATGCTTTGTGCAAAAATCTTAATGCTAAAGTGTTTGTAATATATTTTTGACAAAGGAATTTTTTTAATTTATTTATTTTTATTGCAAAGTCAGATATATATTGTAGAGAGAGAGAAGGAGAGGCAGAGAGGAAGACCTTCAGTCTGATGATTCACTCAGCAAGTGACCACAATGGCCGGTGCTGTGCCAATCCTCAGACAGGAGCCATGAGCTTCTTCCAGGTCTCTCACACGAGTGCAGGATCCCAAGGCTTTGGCCCATCCTCAACTGCAGGATGGCACGCAGGGCTGCTGGGATTAGAACCAGCACCCAAATAGGATCCCGGCGTGTTGAAGGCGAGGACTTTAGCCAGTAGCCCACTATGCTGGGCCCAACAAAGGATTTTTAACCACAATATTCAAAGAACTCTTACAACTGAATTATAATGACCAGTAAGCTCAGTTTCTTTTCTTTTTTTAATCAGGAAGAAATATTGAACAAACAGCCCATAAAAGCAAATCCACAAATAACCGATAGGTATAACACAATAGTTCAACAGGTATGTATGGAAAGAATCAGGGACGCTGAAGACACACTAGATATTTTAAAAATCCACAGCAAGACAACGCTGGAAAAAGACTGACAGTCCTGAAGAAGTGGGCTGAGTCCTGCTGCTAGGAATGCACAGTATATACAACCAGGAAAGCAGTCTGGCAATTTTCTGTGAAGTTAACTGCACTCAATTCTACTCCTGTTTATTTTCTAAGAGAAGTGACTTGTTTCCATGAATGCCCTTTCCTTCGGGGAGCTGTCTCCCCAACCCCGTTAGGGGCCCAACCCCCACTAGCACTCATCTCGGTAGATTCCATGGATCAGATCTTCACATGCCTTGCCTGCTGTGATCTGAGCATGCTTTGCCTCTCATGAGTTTGTGTTCCAGGCTGTTCCCTAGGGTGGCAGCAGGAGCAGGCAGCCTACTGAGGTCCTTAGGTCACTGGGGACATTGCCCTTGGAAGGGACTCGGACAGAATCGGGAGCCCTGAAGTCAGCTTTCCCAAGT